ACAATGATGCCAAAGACTTGGTAAAAAATTAGATAAAATCTGTCATTTCTCTATATCAATCAACATTATAAACTCTTTCTCTCTCATATCGTTTGGCCAATTTAAATGAAACTTTGTCTGAATTTTCTGCTGGTACTTGTTACATTGTACTTCTATTCTTCAATCAGAAAAGTCTGTTAACTTTTTCTGTTAGTCTTAAGCTTTTCCTGTTTTAAAATAGACTTCCTAGATAGTTCAGGCTTCTATAAGCTTTTTGATATATTCACTCTAATTTTGCTTGTTCATGTTCTGTATTCTTAATGTTGTGCATTATTTAACTTCTATTGTATTTAAATGTCTTATAAGGGTATGTGGACAAGTGCTACCAAGGCTAAGATCCAGAATGCCGAGATGCCCAGAGAATTACAGACCGCTGAAATCATGATTCAGGAACATCAGGAAATAGGAGAGGACATCAAGGCTCACAAACCAAAGTAAGACAAGTCTCTTACATGTATATATATTGACATATAAATGCATATGTTATTCATAACCTCTGTTAGTGCAACAATTGGCTAACAATTAAATGAGTGGCAAAGTCGTAACTACATAATTTATGCCATTAAGACCTTTTTGGTAATTTATGTTTAGGTTTGAAGACATACGGGTTTTAGGAAAGAGTATTTTAGACAAAGACCCTGATGCTTCTGATGTTGAAAGTAAGCTACAAAAACTCGGTGAGGATGAGGAAGTGATTGACAGAATGTGGGCGGACAGGAATCAGCAGCTCCAGCATGCTTATGAACTACAGGTAATCCCACCCACCCCACCCACCCCAAACAAATAGGTCTCTCAGGTGATCCCCACCCTCATCAACTCTCTCTAAAACTTGTGCTGGAGATTTTTAGCATAATATTGCCACCAGTTATTGAACAAAAGATGTTTCATTGCAGTTTTTCAACAAAGAGGCTGACCACATTGATTCTGTGTCCAGTGGTCATGAGAAGTTCTTAGACTTTGCTAACCTTGGGGTAAGCCTACAGTTTATTACTCATAAGTACAGTAAAACATGTTTATAATGAACATGCTGATAATGAAACAACACTTACAGCAAAGTGATTTTCATTCCCGCTCGCTTTAAAATATTGTATCTTGTGAACTTAAAGATTAAAGCGAATTACACACAATGAAGCTTAATTGTTGGCCCCTGGCACTTCATAAGGAGCGTGTTTTACTGTATTCTAGCAAGATGTATTTCAGGAGTAACCATATTCATTTTTTCTCACAGGAAACAGTAGATGATGTTGAAACTTTGTTCAAACGTCATGAAGACTTTGAGAACACATTAATTGTACAAGATGAAAAACTGAAGGACTTGGATGAGATGGCTGACAAAAGGATTGCAGAGGGACATCCTGACAAAGATCAGTGAGTCTACCAAGCATTCATCTCAAACTTACTCATCTGACAAATCCTGGCAAACAATTCCTATCATGTCTTAAAAGTATTGAATTATGGTTGTACTTATACTTAAAACTTCATTTCCTGCATACCAGGGATATATCAAAATAAGTTATGCTGGATTCTTAATTTGAGCATCAACTTTCATATATTAAGCAAGTTGATGAATATTTTTACACTTCAACCATGTTTGAAATACATGTATCCTGATTGAACTGTAGTAGGGAATTTTGTCAACATAATCTGTCTATGAGAATTATGTGATGTATCAGATACTGTTACAATTCCAGTATTGACAAGAGGAGAAATGAGGTGCTGGAGAGGAGACAGAAAATCAAGGAGCGGGCAGCAGACCGACACAACGCTCTGTTGGCAGCGCAGGGCTTCCAGGAGTTCAAGAGGGATGCAGACGAAGTGAGTCTAATTCTACTGCATCAAACACTGTCACTTAAAGAAAAAATATATGAGATGAAAATATCCAATTTTTATGAGAACTTCTGTAAATTGACATAGAATGAGACATTAGACTAGATGCATTGAGATACCAACCAGTAAGGAAACGTTTGATAAAGTGTAGAGTTTTGTTTGTCTTTTTAGCTTTCAGATTGGATAAAAGACAAATACAAGACAGCTACAGATGAGTCATATAGAGATCTGGCAAACCTTCACGAGAAGTTGAAGAAACATCATGCATTTGAGGCAGAAATTAAAGCAAATAATGAACGGCTTCAAGACTTAAATGATGTAAGCCTTAGTATTATAAGATACTGCAGTGTGTTTTTGTTGTTTAGGTTAGGAGTGTTCACTTTTACGGTGTTGGTAAATTATCTAACTTGGGTGTTGTTTTATGAGTTTTATTAGGTCTACTATCAACTTTTTGTTTAATCAATATTTTCAATTTCTAATCAATATTTTTCACTCCTTTGTGTGTGTTTTGTGTTTTGGTCCACTTAAACATTTTTACCAAGGTTTGGGGAGAAAGCATATAAAAAGTTAGATGAAAAGCATATCCAACTTGAAACATAAAAGATCTTATTTTTATCACATGGATTCAATTCAAAAAATTATAAATAAAAATACTATGGGTTTTAAAGATATTTTAATGAAGGCAACAAAAGTATAATTAAGAAGCGCATAAAAAACTGTGGTACATCAAGTTATTATTAATTTTTTAAAATAAATATATTTATTTTAACAAGCTATGATAATATCTTCTTAGGAAGTTTATTCATGGGGAAAATATGCACATTTTGTAATGAGTTTTGCAATATTAAATTACAATTTACGGGCCAAATAGCATCTTTATTTGTGATACATTTTTATTTTTTTACTTAAGAAGAATATGTTTGCAGATGCTTTATTGATAATCTCAAAATTTGCAGAAATATATGGTCGTAAGTAAATTCCTCCAAAGCATATTAGAAATGTCTTCATGTCCTCTTCAGTTCCCTCTGTACATCAGCTCAAGGCTTAGTCAATGCCATCACCTGTCACCCCAAATCTACCCTTCAGATTTATAATCAGCTTTCCTCTTCACTACCCATCTTTTCTTCAACTGTTGCTGATGTATGTAATATTTATTCATGCTGCATGGTGCAAAATAAGAACTGAAATTATAGATCAACTTTATCATATTATGCATGTACATCAAAGCAAATGATGTCTTATTCATCAAAGATTCTCAAATTTGCATGATAAGTCTTTGTTTTAGATGTAAAAACTTTAATTCTTTAAATTTGATGATGTTATAAACATATACATTATAAAAAGAAAATGGTTAGAATGCTCTGATGTATTATATCTTGATTCATTTTAATCAGCATTGCTTAGAAATCAATGCTATATGTATGTAAAGTAAAGGAGGCAAAGTGTTCAAAGATTTGTTTTTAAATGGCCTCCAGTGTAACAAAATGCAATCTAATGATTGTCATCATCGTGTCATTATCACCATCAACATTAAAGTGGCCAATTTTGATACAGTGAACTCAGCATCCCAAAGATATTGAACTGAAAGAATTATTAATGTAACACGCCGTATTTTGGATGTTTCACTCTTTATTTCATTACAGAAATTTAAATGCTGATGGCCTACAATATAATATGAAAAGTAATAAAATCTAACAACAATCATTATTGTGAAAATTACATTAACAATTTGTGTAATGCAATTGCACAAATACATAAATTTCATTATACTCAGGCATTTGTATAAATTGTTATAATGTCAATATTATATATGCCAATATTATATTTAACAATATGCATGATCTTATTCATGGATAAAAACATACCCTAAGTAAGGGAGTAATCAAAAATCCATGGATCTGGATCCGTCACATATCTGTTATTAACCTAATATGATAATATAACAGACCTTCAATGCATATTCTATATTACTGATCATTATATTCCAAACTAAGTGTAACAATTACATAATTTAAAAAATGAGAACTAGTTTATGGTTTATCAACACTACACTATTGTTAAATACTATTCTATAATATTTGATATAATGATTATTTAACAGAAATAATAAATTTGATCAATGATTTCTTTTATAAAGAACAGTTTCATATGTAAACAATCAGCTCGATCATTGAATATACAGAATAAACTCTTAATATACTATAAATCAAACATGATTTTACAAGATACTGAATAGACAAATAATTACATACCTTGATATAACTTCTATGGAGATAAACTTTGATTAATTTGAATTTCAAATGCTTCTTGGTATTAACAGTGCTTTTGATCGCAATGGCGTGTCTTATAATGAACAAAGGACGATTCAAACAAAGGAATAAAAATTATTACTTTAAAGAAACATTATTATTAGGTCACCTGAGTCACTCAGGTGACCTATTGCTATCTGTTTTTGTCCGTCGTCGTACGTCGTTCGTCGTCAATCGGTCGTAAACTTTTGAACATTTTCAGCTTCTTCTCTGCAACCACTGAACCAATTTCAACCAAATTTGGCACAAAGCATCTATGGGTGAAGGGGAACAAAAATTGTGAATTTCATGATCCCTGCCCCCCTGGGGCCTGGGGGGTGGGGCCAAAACCGCTAAAATTAATGCAATCTTCAAAAATCTTCTTCTTTACTCCTGGACATCAAGCAGTCAAACTGTTTGCATGATTGTAATCAGCATTGAGTCCTTTACCAAAATTGTGAAATTCATGGCCCTGGGGTCAGGGGTTCTTGTACTAGGGCGGGGCTAAATAAGTATATAGTGAAAATGCATTATTTCTTTGAAAATCTTCTTCTCTGCTCCTGGGTATTAAATAAACTAACTAAGTACATAGTTATGATGAGCAAGAGTGCCTCTACCAAAATTGTGAATTTTATGGCCCCAGGGTCAGGGGTTCTGGTGTCAGGGCGGGGCTCTATTGATTATATAGAGGAAATACATGAATTCTTTGAAAATCTTCTTCTTTACTCCTGGGTATTAAATAAACTAACTAAGTATATAGTTATGATGAGCAAGAGTGCCTCTACCAAAATTGTGAATTTTATGGCCCCAGGGTCAGGGGTTCTGGTGTTAGGGCGGGGCTCTATTGATTATGTAGTGAAAATACATGAATTCTTTGAAAATCTTCTTCTCTGCTCCTAGATTTTATATAATTTAACTAAGTACATAGTTATGATGAGCAAGAGTGCCTCTACCAAAATTGTGAATTTTATGGCCCCAGGGTCAGGGGTTCTGGTTTTAGGGCGGGGCTCTATTGATTATATAGTGAAAATACATGAATTCTTTGAAAATCTTCTTCTCTGCTCCTAGGTTTTATATAAACTAACTAAGTACATAGTTATGATGAGCAAGAGTGCCACTACCAAAATTGTGAATTTTATGGCCCCAGGGTCAGGGGTTCTGGTGTCAGGGTGGGGCTCTATTGATTATATAGAGGAAATACATGAATTCTTTGAAAATCTTCTTCTTTACTCCTGGGTATTAAATAAACTAACTAAGTACATAGTTATGATGAGCAAGAGTGCCTCTACCAAAATTGTGAATTTTATGGCCCCAGGGTCAGGGGTTCTGGTTTTAGGGCGGGGCTCTATTGATTATATAGTGAAAATACATGAATTCTTTGAAAATCTTCTTCTCTGCTCCTAGGTTTTATATAAACTAACTAAGTACATAGTTATGATGAGCAAGAGTGCCACTACCAAAATTGTGAATTTTATGGCCCCAGGGTCAGGGATTCTGGTGTTAGGGTGGGGCTGTATTGATTATACATGTATAGTGAAAAAACATTAAATCTTTGAATATTTTCATCTTTGCTCCTAGGTTTTAAGCAGATGAATAACCTATATAGTTATGAGCAATCCCTAATCTTCAAGAATTGTAAATTTCAAGGCCCCAGGGTCAGTTGTACCATAGTGGGGGGGGGGGGGGGCTGTACTTATGTACTGAAAATGAATGAATTGTTTGAAATGTGCTCCTTGGTATTAATCAAATATTTTTGAAAAGCAAGTATGCCTTTCCAAAAATAGTGCAATGTGTGGATCTAGGCCTAAGAGTCAAGGGTTCATGTGTGGTAGCGGCACTACTGATTATTGCTGAATATTACTGATTAGTTGAAATGCATTTTTTGTTCCCCTACCCTGCCTATGGGTATAAAGTAACCAAACTAAGGAACTGCTAAGTGTATAGTTATGATGACCAGATTGTAAATGCTATAGCATCTGGCTTAAAACATGGATCAAATTCAGTCACTGGAAAGTTGTTGAATAATGCTCAGGTGACCTATAAGGCCCAGGGGCCTCTTGTTTCATTATTTTCCTATATTGAGATGGACATTTAAAATAAGAAACTTACATCAATCCAAAAATAATTTTTACATAAAATATTTATTGAAGTAAGTTTAAACTAATATCATGTCTATTTAAATGATTTACGATTGAATGGTCATATGACTCCGTGGTCCAGCTGATAGGCAGCTCGCCCCACAATCCAAAGGACCACGGTTCAAACCCAACCATGACCACACTTTTTTTAAACAAAAATTATTTTGTCAGATACACATTATATAAATATAAAATACATTAAAACTATTTCACCATATCACATTAACAAAAAATTATACTAGATGCTGTCATGAGACAGTAATACCCGCACTAAGGTGTTTGCCTCTAAATACACGCTCCTACATATTGGGCGGCTTTCCAAAGAAATAGTCCTAATAATTCTATAATTTACATGTATTCATCAAATTGAGTATGAAATTCTCAGACCCTGTGACCTATAACTCAGAACCTCTTATATTTATTTTATACATGCTTAATTCATTATATACCAGACTGAATTTTATTAATGATGTAAATTCATGTACGGATCTGCTGGGGGGGGGGGGGGTGTCAGGACCCCCCCCCCTGGAATTTACAAGGTTAAAAAATGTATATACTAAAACAAGGAAAAACTTACAATGGACCCCCTTGGAAAATGCAGATCCCCCCCCCCCCTGGTAAACACGAATATGTGTTAAATAGGTATGAAAAGTTAAACATTTGCGGCAATAGAAGTCACCACTACCCCCCCCCCCCCCCCCCCACGATATAGGTTTTTGAGGTTTTTGACGTTTGGGTAAGATTTACTTTAGGTTTTTTTTTTTTTTGATTGTCAATTTCTGGGATAGGATTTTTTTTTTGACTGAGGTGGACCCCCCCCCCAGGAAAAAATTTCTGGATCAGCGTCTGAAATTAGATTTTGATATATGTTTTGCTCATAATAGGACCTTTTTAAATTTACTAACCCCCCCCCCCCTCGACACCACAATCACACCGCACATACTTTTTGGAATAGGCTAGATGGAAAAGGTTTGTTAAAATTTAATATCGTTTGTTATGAATTAATTTAAAAAATTTTCTTGTACTATACATGTGAACATGTAAATTTCTACATCACATCACGTTGCGTCACCCATTATCATATTTATAGATTAAACACCATTTGGCACACCTCGGCCGATTCCCACTTCATCTGATAAGGTGATGGAATCGACGAAGGTTCGCCCAAATGGCACGCGGCTGCAGTCTGGTGTGCATTGGATTAATTCGTTTTGTGTTATAATTGGATTTATATTTCATGAAGACACAAGGATCGGTAAGTAGAAGTTTTAGTATAGTGGGGGGTAAAATACACCCAAACGATTAGGTTAAAGTTTAAAAAGGGTCAAAGATCATCGCATGCAACACTAGACGAATTTCATATTGTGAAGTTATCTCCCGTTGTCGATGTGACATTCAGTTACTGCCAATACTGGTGCGGATCCAGAATTTTTTTCGGGAGTAGGGAGGGGGGTTCACATCTCAGTCAAAAAATTCCAGCCCAGAATTTCGTGACAAGCAGGAGAAAAGAAATGAAAACAAATAAACAAATAAAAAAACAATGATAGTGAGGTCAATGTTTTCTAAGTTTATAGGGAGAGGATGTCAGGAGTCACTTTTTACTTGCTACAGTATATAGTCTTGTTTAAATAACAAAGCAAATGCCAGATGGGGGGATGGAGGGGGGGGGGATTCCAATCTTCCTACCCACTTCCTGTCCCTGAAATAACAATGTATTTTGTGATTCCAGTTAAATAGTATATATTTTTTTCCATTTGACTAATTATTATACATATTTTGTTTCTTGTGTTTATAGTATGTATGTCTATAAGTCTGCAGAAATTAAATCCTAGCTAGCTTGCCCATAAGTTTTAAGTGGGATGGGCTATACAAATAGCTTCCACATTTTATAGGTTTATTTCTTGTGACAATTTAATAAGAACTTTTATTTGGGTACCATTAATTTTTACCTCTGATCGCTTGACATGGGATACACATTTTTACAAGAAAAATACCAAACTTTAAACTCTGCCTAAATTTTGATCAGTAGGTGCTAGGGCTTTCATACTTATCATGACATATTGTATTCATTGTGAACTGTCAACAGGTATAAATATGTTTGAGCTTGACCCTAGAGTTTGAACCACTTAAACAAAAAAATTAACCTTGGCAATTAACTTTTGAACAGGAATTACTAGGGATTTCTTTATTTCACATGTGCATTCCCTGTGACAAGACTTTCTTCTGATACTAACAATTTGAACCCTTTGACCTTGACCTTTGATTTTGACATATATTTGAGAAACTTCAACCTTCGCCATAGGCTTCCATACTGGGACATCAGTGTTTCACAAACACATCTTATCTTCATTATTATTTGGTGGTGTCTCCATATGAGGGAAGATGTATTCACAACAAACAAACAAATCACTAAAGAAAATATAAAACATGAATATGTTGGTCATGCATATCTCTGCAGGAAAAAAAACAGCTTTTCAAATACTCCAACCATATTGTAACCCTTTAAAAACACTCATTTGAGCTTTTTTGGTTTCCTTAGCATATAATGTCTGTCGTGACGTGTTGTCCATCTGTTTGTCTGAAAACTTTTTACATTTTTAACTTCTCTAGAACCACTGGGCCAATTTTACCCAATTCATATAGAAATATGTACATTTGTATGTCAGACTCAGTCCATCTGTCTCAATAAATTTAACCTTGGTTATCACGGTCATATCTACTGAATGAGAAGAGACATTCATATTAAACTTATGTACTAGTATATTTACCTGTGAGAATGGCAAGGTTTTTTTTTTTACATGTGACCTAGAAGTTTGACCAACTTGCAAAAAAATTAAATTGTTATAAATTCATCATTTTGAAAGAGAAAAGTTAGGGCATTCATATCATAATGCATGTATATTATTACCTGTGATAAGACCTTTCCAAATAAATCATGACTTTTACACTGTGACCTTGACCTTGAAGCGATCAAGCCTAACCTACTTTTCAAAAATGTTGCATTTGCTTATAACTTTTGATTAAGATGAGATATGACTCTCACATTTGACATGTACATAAATTACTCATAAGAATTCAAGGTGTTTCCCAGCATGCGATGTTTTTTTATGCGCCCGAATTTTTTTCCATGCGCATATTGTTTTTGTCCTGTCTGTCTGTCTGTTTATCTGTTTGTCTGTTGTCAACTTTAACCTTGGCCAAAACTTTTGAACCGTAAGAGATAGAGACTTCATATTTGGTATGCATACTCTTCTAATAAAGTTCTTTCAAATGACATCAAGGTCAATGACCTTGTGACCTTGACTGTGACCTATATGCTAAAAATAGGTTTTTCAACTGTTTGTCATAACTTTTGAACCATAAGTAATAGAGACTTCATAATTAGTATGCATACTCCTCTAATAAAGTTCCTTCAAATGACATCAGGGTCAATGACCTCGTGACCTTGACTGTGACCTATATGCTAAAAATAGGTTTTTCAAATGTTTGTTATAACTTTTGAACCATAGGAGATAGGGACTTCATATTTGGTATGCATACTCCATTAAAAAGGTTCTTTCAAACAACATCAAGGTCAATGATCATGTGACCTTGACTGTGACCTTTATACTAAAAATAGCTTTTTCCACTTTTTGCCATAACCTTTGAACCATAGGAGACAGGGACTTCATATTTGGTATGCATACTGCACTAATAAAGTTCCTTCAAATGACATCAAGGTCAATGACCTTGTGACCTTGACTGTGACCTATATGCTAAAAATAGCTTTTTCCACTTTTTGCCATAACTTTTGAACCATAAGAGATAGGGACTTCATATTTAGAATGCATACTCCACTAATAAAGTTCTTTCAAACAACACCAAAGTCAATGACCATGTGACCTAAACTATGACCTTTATACTAAAAATAGCTTTTTCTACATTTTGCCATAACTTTTGAACCATAGGAGATAGGGACTTCATATTTAGTATGCATACCCCACTAATTAAGTTCTTACAAACAACACCAAGGTCAATGACCTTGTGACCTTGACTGTGACCTATATGCTAAAAATAGCTTTTCCGAACTTTGTTGACGCCGGGCGCATAGTGTTTCACAAACACATCTTGTTACCCCTTGACGTTGATGTTTTACATAATTTTCAAAATATTTAACTCTCCTTAAAGATGATTATGCTTCTGAGTAACATTAAGGAAGACTTCAAGGAAGACAGGGCTTTTTGCATAAAAAAACATAATTTTTCGACCCAAATTTGACCCCCCGGGGCAAAATCAAAATTATGAAACCTTGAGTAAAATGTAAGAGGAGTTCAGGGAAAACAGGGCTTTTTGCATAAAAAAGGTTATTTTTCGACCCCCATTTGATCCCCTTGGGCAAAATCTTAATTCATAAACCTTACTGCACATGTACATGACACCACCAACCATCCTCCAAAAGGTGATGAAGCTGCTGAGTAAAATGAAAGAGGAGTTCAGAGAAGACAGGTCTTTTAGCATAAAAAACATCATTTTTCGACCCCCATTTGACCCCCCGGGGCAAAATCAAAATTCCGAAACCTTACTGCACATCTACATGATCCCACCAACCATCTCCTAAAAGATGATTAGGCTGCTGAGTAAAATGTAAGAGAAGTTCAGAGAAAACAGGGCTTTTTGTATAAAAAACTTTATTTTTCAACCCCCATTTGACCCCCCGGGGCAAAAGCAAAATTTCGAAACCTTACTGCACATCTACCTGACACCACCAACCATCTCCCAAAAGATGATTAGGCTGCTGAGTAAAATGTAGAAGGAGTTCAGGGAAGAAGGGACTTTTTGCACAAAAAACCGTCATTTTTCGACCCCCATTTGACCCCCCGGGGCAAAATCGAAATTCCGAAACCTTACTGCACATCTACATGTCAACACTAATAATCCCACAAAAGATGATTAGGCTGCTAAGTAAAATGTAAGAGGAGTTCAGGGAAGATGGGGCTTTTTACGTAAAAAACGTTATTTTTCTACCCCCATTTGACCCCCCGGGGCAAAATTAAAATTCCGAAACCTTACTGCACATCTACATGACACCACCAACCATCCCCCAAAAGGTCATTTGGCTGCTGAGTAAAATGTAGCAGGAGTTCAGGGAAGACGGGACTTTTTGCACAAAAAACGTCATTTTTCGGCCCATTTGACCCCCTGGGGCAAAATCAAAATTCCGAAACCTTACTGCACATCTACATACACCACTAATCATCCCACAAAAGATGATTAGGCTGCTAAGTAAAATGTAAGAGGAGTTCAGGGAAGATGGGGCTTTTTGCATAAAAAACGTCATTTTTCGACCCCCATTTGATACCCCGGGGCAAAATCAAAATTCCGAAACCTTACTGCACATCTACATGACACCACCAATCATCCCCCAAAAGGTGATTAGGCTGCTGAGTAAAATGTAGAAGGAGTTCAGGGAAGACGGGACTTTTTGCACAAAAAAAACGTCATTTTTCGCCCCCATTTGACCCCCCGGGGCAAAATCGAAATTCCGAAACCTTACTGCACATCTACATGACACCACCAACCATCTCTTAAAAGATGACTAAGCTACTGTGTAAAATGTAGGAGGAGTTCAGGGAAGAAAAGTGTGACAGACGGACGGACGGACGGACGGACGGACGGACGGACATGAGTAACAACAATATACCCGAACTTTCTTTAGAAAGTGCGGGTATAATTACAAAAATCAGGGTAAAGCGTAGAAATCTGAGTTTTCAGAAGGTGTTATTAACTCTTTATCTTGGATAACTACTGCATTTCAAACAACCATGCAATCACAGATGTAAACAAAAAAAAAACAAATGTGAAGAAACTGGAGGAAGTATAGGTAGTTAGGCATAGATATGTTAGATCTTGCTTTTCTTTCCTCATTTGTTCAAAATGGGTATCACATCATGTCATGTGTTCTTATTGGTACGAGACAGAGAAAATCAAAAGTATACTTTTACAGTATATTTACTGTACTGGTACAACACACTTAGTACCTTTGCATTTCTTTTTTAGAATTATTCAAAATGGATATGAATTCCTGTCATATCTGTCTCTGTTTTGATCAGAGGAAATCAAAAACATATGTTTTGTACAATACATATACACGTAGGACCTTGTATTTCCCTTATTTGTTCACAATAGGTATCTATATCTGTCTTTTCTGCCTCTGCTTTGGTCAAAGTGAGATGAGACATACTTAATATACATACTGATACAATACATGTACATGTAGGACCTTGCAATACCTTCTCATATTTGTTCGAAATAGACATGTTCCAGTCACCTTGATCTCCTTCCTTGTCCCTGCAGATACAGAGCATGACTCATAATTCTTCTGTCTCCTTTATGATTAAGATAAAGGGTTTGATTGGTCATTTTTAAATGCAAAAGTTATTACTTAAAAAAAACATGTAGGCCTTGTAGAAATGCATAATAATTTGCTACTTCTGCCTTACAGAGAGGAGATGGAATGGTTAAAGATGGACATTACTCTTCTCCGGAGATCCAGGAAATTCTCCAGGACCTCAATACTCAGTGGAAAGACATGTGTGACAAAGCCAAAGATACATAATTCTGTGCATCGGTTTTTGATTCTCAATAAACGCTGTGTTGCCGTGGTCAACAACTAACAAATTAAAAATAAAAGATCATAAATGTTGATTCTTAATCAAAATGCTACTCCTCCCAAAGTTTTGGTCTGATTTTTATTTTTTCCAAAGTGGTATACATGTAGACTACATTAAGATGAAACTTATTTCTTAATGTTCTGTAAAGAATGAAGTTTTTAAATTATTTTCAATGAACAAATTGGATGCCATGGTTACTAAAAATAGAAATTTCTTTGAAACTTCTTTCAAACTTGGAGAATGAATACTCCTCCTACAGTTTTGGTCTGATTGTCTCACAGGGACAGGCCTTGGCACAGTCTGGACATTTTGATAAAGCCAACATCCTCAGAGCTGTGGAGGATTTCAACAGCAGGTCAGGATATTGTTAATGACTGACCGTTTTACAAGGTAAATAATGCATCTACAATGTTTCACATTCATTTTGGTCAACGGGCTTTTCTTTGTGTTTCAGATTTGGGAAGTTGAAGCCAGCAGTAGAAAAGAGAAAAAACAAGTTGCAGTAACTTCACTTTTCCATTTAAGTTTGATGTTCTTCAGTGGATCAAGGAGAAGCTGCCTGCTGCGGCCTCCACAGACTATGGAAAGAGCCTGGTGGATGCCCAGAACCTCCAGAAAGCATCCTGTGTGGTGGGAATGTGGGAAAAATCAGGAAATTGAACTGAAGTTTTTATTAAATTCAATAAAATTGAAATTAAGGCCAGTGACCAATAACAGGTTGGAAGGCAAAAATGTACATAATGTAGGGGTTAGGCATTAGTTTATTTTTCAACTGAATTAATGATCCAAAAGAAGTTCATTCAAATTGAAGAATAATTACAATTGTTAAAGATAAATACATTGTACCTATCAATTCTTACAGAAACTTGATCATAAATGACCATCCCATTGTGGAGAGGGTGTTAGCTACAGGGGCCAAACTAATTGACCAGAAACACTTACATAGGAATATATAAAGGAAAAATCTTTAAAAACTTCTTCTCAAGAACCACTGGGCCAGGAAAGATGAAACTCATGTGGAATCATCCAAATCAGAAGGTAGGTCTATTTGTCTATTTAAATTTGTCATACTTCTCTATCATGACCCCCAAGATTTCATATTTATGTAAATAATTACACACTTCATTTTTTTGTGTGTGTTTTGAAATCTAAACTTAAAAATCTCTTATATAAACAAATCTTCTTGCATCATATTTGAACCACTGGGCCAGGAAAAATGACACTCATATGGAAGTTATCCTAAATGTTTTATCATATTAAAGTTTGTACAAATCATAACCATTGCTTCCTTAGTTATAGGATCTGTTATTTCAATAATTTCATTTAACAAATTATTTCAAACTGAAGTTTTACATTCATGTTTACGAATAATAATACAGGGTAAATTAATCTTTAAAAATCTTCTAAAATTCATCAAGATACATAACCACTGGGCCAGGAAAATGTTTTACTACCAAACTCATGTGGATATCTTCCTCAGGTAGTTGTCGATTCAGGAGTTTGTTCAAATAATGGCCCTGGCCACCAGGACTATGGCAAGTGGGGCCAAAATGGCCGACCCAAGTTTTGTAAACTTTGGATTGAAGATATATATTGGAAAAATCTTCATTAAACTTAAATTTTTTTCTCAAAGAACAGGGTGTAAAGTCTTCTCTTGGATTCATAAAAGTTACCTTATTTACTGAGATTTCCTTATAAGCTAGTGTTAATTAACCAAGTTTTACTGTATATAATTTAAAATATTTAGACAGTAGTGTTAGAATTCAAATTTAGGTATTGGAGACAGATGACCCCCGGGAATTGTGACAGGACTGGGGCCAAAATGGATGTCAGGATCCTCCACTTTTACGCAAAGCACAAGAGTTATAGAGAGAGAAAACTAGAGTCTTGATAAAATTACATGTTAAAATAATTCAAAGCTTTTTATGATTAGTGATATCTCCAGGACCATTTGAACAGGGAATCATCTTCAGGTAGTGTAGAAATGTCTAGTTTGCTGCATGCCTACAACAGAGAGACCCGTGACTTTGAGGAATGGATTGATGACCAGATGCCCCCCCCCCCCCGAGTAAACTTTCTGATTCTGAACATCTGATTTAAGAAAGACTTTATTATGAAAAAATGCTTTGCAGTCTATATGTGCTACAGGTTGAGCACTGCAATGGAATACTGGGCCTCTTGTTATATTTGATAATTGCCAAATTTTACAGATCATTTTTTCTACTTAATATTTTGTGTGATACTTAGAAACAGGTTTGAGGAATTCAAACGCACAGTGGAGGCTGGACTTTTCAACAGGTGTCCTTTGTTTTGGAGGACAAACGCAGTATGAAGACCAGGTCAAAGAGAGACAGACTTCTGGTTGAAATAGAGACAGTTAAAAAGGACTTGTTTATAAATAGTTCATTTTTGTTGAAAAGTTTAAAAACTTGTTAATATAGCCTGTCTGTATTACATGTTTATTTTGAATTTCAGAGAAAAATGGAACCAGTTACTGGAACAGATAGAGAACCGAGACCAGAAGATGTATGGTGCAGGAGAGATTCACAGGTTTAACCGTGATGTCGAGGAGGCTCTCACCAGGATTCAGGAGAAATATGCCAGTATACCCGAAGATCAGGGGAGGGATCTGTTCGCCACTCAGAGCTATCTCAAAAAGCATGAACGGTTTGAAAATGAACTGGTGGCATTAGAAGCTCAGGTAATTAAGAGGCATCTTTTATTTTTTTAATTTTCATCATCATATTTTAAATTTTTTGAAAGTATGAAGTATGTATATTGTGGTTCCCACTTCTTTTTCCAGTTACAAGTCTTGATTGAAGACTCCACTAGACTTCAGGATACTTACCCTGGGGAGAATGCTGAGCAGATAGAACAGCTTCAGGCCACAGTGGTGGAGAACTGGGGGATCTTACAAGACAGAGCTGCTCAGAGGAAGGAAGAA